CATTGAATGCGCCGGAAGTTATCTCATTCAGAGAGGTGCAGAAGTTATTGGATCAATTGAAGCTGTTTACCTTGGCTAATGCTCGGAATTCATCAAACACCAAACAGGTGATTTATTCTTGAAAAAGGCGGTTACCAATAGATACACTGGGTAAATTACTCAATCAAATCGCATTTATCCTCTGGTGGCACCATATACGGTTGAATCAATGTGGATTGGAACCCAGCTTTCATGAAAAGGTTGATCATTATGTGCGGCTGAAGAGACGCCCAAGCTTTCTTGACCAGATGCAAGGCCTTAAGAATGTCCACCTCGGCTTCCATGATATGTTGCTCATCTTCGATCAAACATATTCCAGTTGATGTTTCCGAAACGAACATTTGAAAGACCAAATCACGCCCTGATCCATTGATTGTAACATTGAAGAACAGTTCGGAGGCAGGCGTACCAATTTGACGCTGGAGAATACTGCGGCTTGGTTATGGCAAGGGGCGTTGTCCATAAATAGTAAAACAGAGGGCCTTTGAGAAACCATTTTGCGGTTAACATAGGACAGTCAACTGTGAAATAACGCAGAAGTCATCCATGCTTACTCAGAAGAATTATAACTGCATGGAAGGCTTTTTTTTTTCTATCTATACCGCGGAGGCATTGTGCAGTTTGAAACTTTCCAATCAGTAACGGTGATAACTTTTCTCCACAAAGCAATAACGGGACCCTCTATTTGGATTTCTTGGACCCAGAAACTTATTTTTTTTTCTGAGAGCTGCCTGTAATACAAAACTGTTTCATCTACATTGAAAATATCACAGTCAGCATATCCAAGTATCCATTACGGTAACTCCGCCTGCAACTGGTCGACTGCATCACGTGGCATCGCTAAACTTTCCCCACAGACATATAAAGTAATGCACATGAGTTGTTTGTTTCTTATTTTGTATGATTAAATACCACATCTGTCTGACCCAGAGCGAAACCAAACTTTGGAAGCCTTGAAGTCATTATGATGCAATCTTTATGCTAGCTGGATTGCCTTCTTACGTACGATGCTCTCCACCATTGAAAACTCTTCGTGCTTTACCCTCATAGCAGTAAACCAAGCCAAAGTTGCGTCATTCACTGCCTTGAACTTTTCGTTGGTTTTCAGGTGGCATCTTCCCTCAGATCCTCCAGCGTTCAAAACTTGCCCGACAGTCGTTCGATGGGATCCAAAATTGTAGACAGATTTTGTGAAATTTCAAGTGATTTAGCTACGGAGCTCTGGGTTGCACCTGGCTGTTTCAGCATTTCCAAAATATTCTGCTTCTCTCTGATGGATAGGCGCTTGCACATTTTGACGTCAAATGACACTATCTCCGATCACTTACATCGTTGTGACTTCCTCGCAAGGACTGTCCATTGAGTGAACAGTGCCATGAACGCGTCACACTAGGTGCAACGCCACTGGCTGAGTGCGACATTTCAGGGTGGACGGCCAATGGTCGTCCCGAACATCGATCAACGACCAAGTGAGTACGTATCAGGAACTACGACATATTGGGGGGTGCGACATCGCATAGTCAGAAACTATGTTATTAGACATATTGTTGGTTTGGGTTTTGAAAAAGTGGGACGATATTAGAAAATGCGACTTCTCAGGGGTGTTATATAGCAAGAGATTGACTTTGCGATATACGTTTTTTTTTGTCACTGTACAATTTTCGACAGTATACATGCTACGGAGTTTGCTATACCATCGAACGCCTATGTCATGTCCCACAGACGATGTTAGGTTCTTGAACCGCTTATTTTATTCTAGTGGTTTCATCATTATTTCGTTCGGCAGTTTTCAATATGTAAAAAGGGAAACCAGTATGCCGTAACCGGATCTTCCTTTTGTGTAATGACTTATGTGCGCATGGAATTTACGCCTGCGCGTATATGCTCATGCGCACGCTCGAAGCACTGTATCATGCATGGATCAAACAATATAAAGAGAGAGAGTCATTGCAGTTACAGCATGATTAATCTCGTTCTCTTTGCGCACAAGAAAGAGAAATGCTTACTTATGAAACATGATCAGTTCTTTTGCGGTCACAATCCCATTCCCCCTATCAGTATCCATTAGGCTGATTGCCTTCGGATGAATCATATGCGAAAAATAAATAGAAAATGCACCCTTTGAAGTAATTTTTGTGTTTGCCAGATCGGGTTATATTCAGTCAACTAGAGGTATTCTGTGCGTGTAAAAAGAAATGCACTAATCATTATTATCGCTCTTTGGATTCCAGAAAGTGGGTTGACTTCAGCCGGATTAATCGAGTTGTGCATGAAAACATACGTTTCTATCATCGAATATTATGTTGAGTTGCTCATTGTGTATGCTCATTGCTGGTGAAAAGAAACTAGGTTTCCTAAGAGTAAGCTGACCATCGGTGTAAAATGTCATCTGAAAATAGTTCCATGTGTTACTAACCACACTTGAGAAATATATTCCGCTGGTGAAGTCTTGAAGCATAAGCTGTGTAAGTGAGCTTGTGGCACTAAATAATAATAATACTAATAATAATTATATGAAAATGAATATGAATAAGGATATATTGCAAGTAATCAAAAATTTATCAAGCGGCATATTTTAAAGTAGATTAAAAATAGAACGGAGTGTCCCCAAATGGAAACCGACTCTTTCAATCGCCTTTATCAAATCATGAATCAGCTTTTATTGCAACTAAATGGTTGTTTTACAAATCGATTAGATCTCGCCATAGCCGTCAAAACATCTGTTCCATTCCAAATGTCCAATTCGCAACCCCTCATCCATCACCATTTAAGGAACATCACAGACTGCACTGTTTTCCGCTCAACCGACCGTACAGTAAATAAAACAAAAACATGAGTGAATAATTTACGATCGGATTTGCCCTTCGCATCACAATCATTTTCACTTTTTCTATTTTCATCCAGTGAGTGACAGAATGGTAAATGGCTAATTGAGCGAAAACGGGACGTGAATCTTTCATCAGGGCTGCCACATTAGGCTGTCACAAATTTGTCTTCGATTGCACTCAACAGTGTCCAGTTTATTTGAGTCGATTGCGCAATATTTGGTTCAGCCATGAACACAGTGATAAGTGCAAAGCAAACTATTAAAGTAACCACGTTGGACTTTGATGAGCGAATACAAAGTTATCAGACCGAAGGGTTCGTTTGTCTTACTGTTATTACACTTCCATTGAGTCTCGTTCTGTCACTGGCTTGTTGTTATTCAAATAGAAAACTGAGATGAAACGAAGTTCATGCAATGCCAAAATTGCCTATCTTTACGTTGGAGGGATCAAATGAGATCACCGCCCAAAACCTGCCACGAGACGAGAGCAGAAACGCATTGCATTGCGAAAAATAAGCAAACATGGGCTAGACTGAAACCGACAAGCGCCGCAGTCCGCGTTTAAGAATTTGGTCTATCTAGCGCGTTCGCACGAGATGATTATTATGGATGGTTGACCAATGTGAGAAAGCATCGATTAGTTGATAAAGTAATTGGCTAAGGACAGAAGACGGCCAAGGCTTCATTGTGCACTGTAGTACATACATTACTCTAGAATAGCGATGGGAACGTACTCAGTCCAATAGGTGTGGGAGGAGATTAAACGAAATTCTGCATTGACTTATAGTCGAGTGATGGCGCCTGAAACATTCAACTACTCAAAATACCAGCGGCATTTAAGTTTACAACTTTTTCAGGTTTCATCTTTATGTTTTTTACTTCCTTTTATTGAATACACAAAGATATAATTTTCAGGAAGGGGGAAGCGGCCAATCAGAGGGCTGCCGTACAATACACACAAATAGGGAAAGTCAGGCTGTGGTTGTGGGATTCGAATACTCGTCCTCCGGGGTGATAATTGGTGACGTTACCACCGGGCCACGACCGCCCGGAGTCAGACAAACACAACAAATGTGCCACGTGGGTTACACGGATCCCAGGTAAATTTGTGCATTTAAACTCGGTGGAGTGAAGAAGTTGTGAGGAATTATTCCAAATGTTACCAATTAATGCTTGTGTTTCATTGCACACAGTAAATTCGAACAGGAAAATTTGGGACAAATTTTGAGGTATTTTCCGTTCGGATATGCGATACTGTTCAATAAGTACAGGCAAGTTCAATATTCAAAAGGGCCTCACCAGCATTTGATAAAAATGCTAATCTCTTAAGCACTTCAACCCACCCTGTTTTTATTAATTTGAAAAACAATATATTTAGGACGAATTGCACCCTAAAACCCAAACATCACAAGAGCCAGTGAAGGCCAAAACATCAGTCTAACAGCAAAGGAGCAGCTCGACGATAAAGGTAAACATTCGCACCAAGATTCATACAAACTCAATCTACCTTCTTTCCCGTCATCATCATCTTTTACCGTGAATGCTGTATTTGCGGACGACTCCCCCTCCAACAGGGAGTGTCACAGTTGAAGTCGATGCTGGTCATGGAACTTTGATTCTAGAGATCTAATGAGTGATTAATCGGTAAAACACACACGGAAATCAAATTGTTAATAACCAATAACATGATAAATGTTTTAAAACTATAATTGTTTTTCTAAATATTTTTTCTGATACGAGTCAGCGATCAATTTGTACAATATGTCATAACATTTGCTACCACATACAAAAAGACACCCAAGATACCAATTCCGTGGTACAAAATTGACGGATGAGTTTGAAATCTTGAAGACTATCAGAACAATTTTGTTGTTACTGTGCTACTGGTTCTTCCCTTATCACTGAAGTACGAAGTAAACAGGAACAAATATTTTTCCTATGTAAGCCATAAGCTCGGTTGAAGGTCATTAGTCTGCAGTTTTGATAATCAACTGGCCTTGCGGAGCATTTGCACACTGTGAGGTAGTCGTCATTGATTGGTGAGGACCAATTTGGTGTACACAAAGATTACCGGTTCAGATACTGTGATTGGTTTAGCTAAGTCTTTGCGCGTGCATCTGTGTGTGTGTGTGTGTGTGTGTGTGTGTGCGTGCGTGTGAACTCAATCATTTTACAGGATCGAAGTGTGGTTAAGTCAGCTGACCGAAGAATGGATAATCAGTGACCGACTCACATATATATCTGCGTTTACGGAACTCCTGCAACCGTTCGAGTGGGTAATTTTGCTGGAACATGCTTTCATTTATTAGTTGAGGGAAGTTCACAAGGCTAATAAAGCTGATAAGGCGGTACGTGTGTGTGCGGCGGGGGGGGGGGAGGTGGATATAGTAGGAGTTTACAGTTTGGGGTTTGCACGCAAAACTCTGGCTGCCTTATTATTGAAAACAAATACACACACCATGTATGTAAAAGGAGGAATTTGTAACTAAACGTGATAGAACCAATGAAAACTGGAAAGGAGCAATTGTATGCGAACGACGTTTTGAAAGGTTAACATGTCATCAACTTGAAGGGTCATCATGTACTCATTTGCACATTGTTAAGTGTTAGAGTCGTATAAAAAGGCAAGTAGTCGTAGTTGTAGTATTTAATTAAAGGGAATTGCAGAGATGTGAACGAATATTGAAGATCAACGACTTAAATTTGCTAGGTCCTCAGTGTACAGACCAAGAAAAGTAGCAGGGAGATGTAGCACGAATCCGTACACACAAGCACGTAAAAATCCGTCAATTATGTATAAATATGGAGCAAAGCCTTTCGTTTCTTCAGCGGTGGCCGGTATCGGTGGATCTCATTGTTATCACCTAAATTAAATGTCCTTCCGCCTTTATCAAATTCCAAAGCACAGTCGGTGGGTCCCAAGATCCAAGCAATTGTTTTAACTCCTGCGGTGGCTTAAGTAAAACATATAACATTTCCCCCACAGTTACTTGTCAGTAGTAGTGTGAGACAAATGATATTGATTTGTGCCCGGGACGGTGGATATGCACTATTGATGAACTCTGGTGAGAGAAAATCTGGAGTCTCGAGCTTCCTGGGTCCATGGTTGATTGCAAGCAGGAGGCTGTTGTGCCTGAACATCAGCTCAAATCCATACAAATACGTGAATTTATTTGCCGGAATAAACATAGAAGGAACAGTTAGGATAATCGTGAATTTTAGTAAGTGATCTACGTGACTAAGAGGGTGAACGTGAAGGTTTATCTAGAGCAAAGACAAGGAGGTACTGTGAGTTAATTTTTGTTCACACACACAGGAGTCATTTGTGTCTCGTGATCCACATCGATTCGTAGAGAGCCAAGAGTTTTGGATTACAATGACATAACACGACTTCAAACGATCAGATGAGGTCATTTAATTTGTATGGAATCATTCATGGACATCGATCGCTGCCCAATATTTTTTTCTCAAGAGGTTCAATGAACTAGAACAAACAACTGCACACACAGATCCACATGTGCACGTTTTTGTGGTTGTTCATTCTTCACATCTTCTGAACTCCGGCACAGCACTTTCCGCATATACGATTGTAGAAACTATCCGTTTCCCTTCTTCTGTCTCATAAATGCATCATCTCGAACGAATAAAGATTCTTCAAGTTATCTCGTCCCGTAATCGGTCATTAAACTAATTATTGGTAAACGGACTCAGTCAGTGAAAGATTCCATTATATCACATTCGATGCGATGCTGTGTGAAATTAGACGTAATTGAAACTTAAGCATCTCGCTTCGCACATGATACAAACGTAAAAATTCATTCGAATGTGTAACTAACTATTCATAGTTCATCCTACCAAACTACGTGGTGAATTCCTAATCAGTCGATTTAACATGAACTGCATTTAGTTGGAATCACGCACAAACACTCCAAAATATAAAAATCATTGCACATACTATCAAAGCCATTCATTTTCAGTCGGACTCGTTAACTTGAGAGCCGATAAGTTGTTTGTCCTTGTGGGAAAACCAGGAGATCAATAAGGAAATGAAATTTGGTGCAACACGCCAAATTCCATTCCAGCCACGACAGAAATGAAAATCCGAAAATCATTTCCCCCCCCCAGTAGTACTTAAGTTTCATTGGGATAAAATTACGTCTCTGTCTAGTTGCAAGCTATCCACTTACCGCCGACATTCAAGCTATTCCCGGTTGACTGTAACATTCTGCGAAAACCACAAGAGGAGCTGGGTGATCGACTAATGA